GAGGGAGGTAGCCAGTAGAATTTAGGGGTTTAGTTACACTTTAGATTGGGACAATTCTCCGGAGATGGTGAAGCAATTTCTTCAAAATCTGCTGTCCCTGCTATGGCAATCTAACACACTGCAACCAAGTTAAAACAATGAATTTCATAACTCTGATTTGACAAAAAACAATAGGAATGTTAAACTCTTCTTAGATTTGATTAAAAAAATCATCATGTTTAAGACCTCTAGATCTAAATAATTCTAGTATCATACACACTATTATTATTCTTTTTTTGGCAGTTTGCTTAATTGACAGTGAATGTAGGGAAATACAGGAAAGCCAACGGAGAGAGCGAGGGGATGACATGTAGCAAATGGCCTAGGGCTGGACTTGAATACGGGCTGCTGTGGTAAAGTTTTGAGATGTGGTCCGAGCTCTACCCGGTGAGCTACTGGGGTGACACCATACACCTGTTATTCTACATCTGTGTACACAGAAAGTTCTACATTTCATGTTTCTGGCAGCAGCATTACCAGTTTATTTGAAAAGAAAAAAGCTCCACCTCCAGGAATTCAAAACTCATTCACAGGAAATCTCACAAAAATAAAACAATAGAAATTGTGTTGCTGTTTGATTGAGAGGTGATCTGTGGGAAGACACCAGGGTAATTGCCACTTCCCACTGTGCGTTACATTTGTCTGTCTTCCCTCCTGTTACTCATCTCTTTTCTGTTCTTTGACATTGAGCAGCACAGACCTAATATTTTGCAGTCATGATGCATTTCAGCCCCTAAGTTGTCAAAGTCGAGCAGAGAGAAATGAAAACTTTCTCTACCTTGCTTCCACATGTAAAAGACAACAGAATGACACAAATGTCACTTACTGCTATCATTGCTATCAGAGTTTATGTAAAACACAAACACAAATGTGTCCACCAAGCTCCATTCATCGTTGCTCTAGTTTGCCAAACAACTTCTTTCCAGCACAAACCCGCCTTAAACCCTCCGGAGGGAAATTGAAAATCAACATGACTTAAAATCCATCCCACCCCAAAAAATAGCTGCCTGTAATACTTTCCTCTAACATTGATTTACAACCAGGTGAAACATCTTCCAGTCAGAGCTCGGTGATCTCTGATGGAAAGGAAATATTGATGTCCACATGAGTGACTGACTAGATAGAGTGAAAATGTCTCGCCTTTTTGCCAAGCAATATGAAAAATGTATAAAGAGGAAGCCGATCCAAGAATTCTTGAATATATTCTCTGTTTCATTAAGCCTTGGGTGGGTGGCGTCCTGGGTGGAGAGATATCAACCTTCAGACACTTCATTTCTAATTTTAACCTCAGATACTGACTCTGTTGGAAGGGGCAGTTCATCTGCTATAAATCATGCATGGGGCTATGGGGAAAATAACTAGTATGGGATAAGAATTATTAGTATTTTGTTTCAACCCAAAATCAAAACAGTGTGTGCTGTCTTACTATCTATTATACAGTCGGTATTAAGTACACCTGTACATTCTATTGCAATCCAATAGAAATATTATACCATTTATTTGTTTTTATCAGTACAACCTCAGCTAAATCAAGTGCATTAAAATACCTATTTAATGTAGAGGTCTGAATTAAATAAAGCTGTTTATATGGCATATTTCAAAGGATAATTCCAGTCATTTATCAGGTATAACATTGTATTCACCAAAGTCATTTCTAGATCTGGGAACACAGTGACATTGATTGAAGTCTGACTGGGAGAGAAACATAAGAAATCACAAGATCAGACAGGTTGTAAACAAGACAGAAGCTTAGACAGATTATCTGAAGAAACAGAGCACTACACTGGTTCAGAAGGAAAACCAAAGTGTTTGCATTAGGTGTGATAACAGCTTTATTCATGCTGTACCATCAGTTGCTCATTTATTAGTTGATTGGCAACCAGCTGACTACAGTTCATGCAGACATAGACAGTGGACTTCACTGCTGACTACGCCAGTGACATTTGCCCCACCAAAACCCCAACCTCTTCCTTAAGCGTCAAGCTTCTGGTTTTGTTGACTTTGACTGTTGACATGTATATGCTTATTAAACATGGATTAGTTTTGCCAGCAGAGTTCTTGTTGCGGCCCTGATCCTTTGAGAGCTCCCTCAACGAGGCGAACCTTATCTGCCAAATCTGGTCAGATCCTTGACGTGAGGGTCTTTGACTGAAATAATATCAGTCTGTGGATGACAAGGGTTCTCCCAAATAACCACATGGCATCAGTTCCAGTGGTTCTCAAAATTGTTCTGGCAACACCCAAGTGGTTGATAGGGGAACCAAAACTAATGAAAAAGGATGCATTTTAGTTCAATAAAAGACTCTATGCCTCACCTGCAATGCGCCACAGTTTGAGAAGCACTGTTATAAACAGAAATAGAGAGAGAGGCTTGTGGGATATTTTTAAAAATCCACACTACATTTAGGCCTCACAATGAATGCTAGTATTTTTTCACAAGTAACGCACTGTAGAGTATGTATTAACGGAATTGTACTAATAACAAAAATCCCTAATAGACGAGTTTCAGTGGATTAGTATGTAAGGCTCATACTTTTTTTTCACAGGACAAACAGCTTTCAAAGCCACAGACATTGACAAACCAGGTTTGAGTGTGGGAGGTGCTTATCTATCTGTGCACTGCTTAGCACAATGCTGGGGAAGACATTGGCAGGACTAGAGATGTTAGCTAGGCAAAGAAAATGTGGCAGCCTGAACAATGTTGCCGAGGCATAAAACCTCTCACTGAATATAAATGGGAAAACCTGCAAGATAGCTCTGTGGAACAGATCATCTGTCACTGCCAAGTTTGCATAGTCTCAGCAAGTTTCCTGAAAAAAAGCTTTTGTTCGTTTCACAGCAAATGCAGCGGTCGTGCAGCAGAAAAAGAAACGTGGCACTGCTTGTTCCTGTGAAATTTTACTTTTGAGATTGTAGAGGCAGTAATGTCAAACCTGGGGGAGGCCATTTTTCCAGATGATCCATTGTTTTTCCGATGCGTGTGGAAATGGCCCAAATTATAACAACTGAGAGATTGAGGGGTTCTAGTTAACAACAAGCTTGCATGTCGTTAACTAGCGCTCCTCAGCTGTGATACCCGACACAGAGCCTGCGAGGAGAGCCAAGAACAGGAGAGAGGAGCTTGGCAACGATGAGGAGGAGCCGCTGGCATCCACCCTGCACAGCCTTGCAGGAATGTGTATGGGAAACACACAAACCTTCAACACACAATCATTGGATGAATCTCATCTAATTCACATAAGTAAAAACTAAGGACTTCAGAAACACACTTTTGAACATGTGCCATTCATGCGCACACATACACACATACTAATGAGGAGTGCATTTGGTTACAGTGCCAACATCATAAAAACTCCCTCACTGTACCCTGCCTGCCTCTTTTCTCACTGTTTCCAAGGAGACTGCAGCACATTGGTATTCTAAAGGGACACTTCATAAGCAATTGTGAGAGAAGGCAAGAGAGAGAGTGAGCAGGAGAGAGAAAGAAAGCATAAAGATAGAATGGTGCAAGGAGTAAATACATACAGACAGGGGGCAAATTAAAGGAAAAACCTGAGAATGAGTGGAGAAACAAATTCAGATGCTTCCATGCATATGGTTTGAGTATGAACATTTTTAAAATATACAGCAAATCTCCAGATCACAACCCAGTTGAACACCTAGGAAAGATGGTGGACCAACATTTAAGATAATTCATTTATTTGACAGGGATGATACATAGAGGCATTGTTACATTTAAAAAAATGCAACCAGTGCAATGTATATACTGCTAATTTGCAGTCCTTGTCTTTTAAAGGCTTTTAAAGGTCCAGTGTGAAACATTTAGGAGGATCTATTGGCAGAAATGGAATATAATATTAATAGGTAGGTTTTCATTAGATATAATATATAAATATAATTACCTAAAAAATAGGAATCGTTTTGTTTTTGTTACCTTAGAACAGTTTCATTCTGGGGCCTCCTTTCTATCACTGAGTAAACTGATGACCCCTGACTGACTGACATATTTTATGGATTTTCCATATTATATTCATGGAGTCTGCCATGTTGAACTGCTGTGTTTATGAAGCTCTAGCAAAAGTTCAGTCAGGAAGACATAAGGCACATAGGCTCTTGAATAGGCTCTTCATCTTGCATTCACTCCTCTCACGCATAATTTCCTTGCTGGCATCATTTGGGGCTGTCAATGGTAATATCAGCTTGTCACATCTAACCTATCATCTTGCAGCTTTCTTTTTAGATATAATTCTCTCTCTGCTTTCAGTTCATTCATGCTGCTGTTATGCACACTCGTCCACCTCCCCAACAGCCCCCAGTCTTTGGAGCCACCACCACCAGATCCTGGACACCCTGGAGGGATTTATCTTGCGGATGATCAGGGCAGATGCCCCTGGTTGCAACCTGCAGTTCAAGTTCACCGCTAGGTGCCAGTAAATCTTACACACTGATCCTTTAAGGGATAAAACACACAATAAAACACTAACACAAACATAGAGACAAACAATAAAATAAATATAGACAGTAACTGAAACAACAATGACTGAAAACAATTATTGGAGGAATGGTGGTCATCCCCCCAATAGCGTTCTACGAACTTGGCAAAGGGCATTGAGGCTGTTCTGGTAGCTCCTCCATACCACGACACTTCATGTTGCTTTTTGCTTTAATTTGTCACCCATATGTATGTGTAGAGAGAAAAAAAGACACTATGTTGTATGTTATGTTGGTTGTGAATATGTTCATTCATACAGACACCATTTATCTTCACCACAGTTTTGTTGTTTCCATGGCAAATGACATAATTATGCTATATGTGATTAGACCCATTCACATCCATGGGTGTCATGAAAGATGCATGTGCTGTATGTTAGTAATCACAGCGAAATGTTGATCCAGTATGAAGCCCTGTGATGTTAACAGTCATGACTCATGCAGATGCAAGACAAGAAAAGCTTCCTTACCCATAAACTCGATGCCCAAGTGATCTGTTGTTTCAGGCAGCAGGGAGGAAAGAGGGAGGCAGGGGGGAGGGGAGAGAGATAGAGAGAGAGGGAAAGAAAATAAAGTTATTATTAAGAATAGTGTGCGTTAGCATTGTGTCACAGCATATAGCCAGATCATTACTGACTTGTTGTTCTTTCTTGTAAGCTGCTGTATTGCTGTTTTATCCATTGTCACACGGAGTCAGAGGGCACATGCCAGTAATGTTACAAGACATGACACAAACACACGCTTGTCCTACTGTATTTGTGAGGACCCTCTGTGATGATAATGCATTCCCTAACCATGACCACTGAACACTTATTTCTCAGCTTCTCGCTCTGAGCGATGGAGTTGTTTCCCATGAGAGGTTTTATAAAGTTGATGTCACGTTCTCCCATGAAAAAATCAAGAACTGGCAATATTTGAAGCAAAATCTGATGAGGTGAGGTTGTTGGCTCACATTGTCAGGCCTCTGTCAGTCACATCTGATCAAATCACACCCTCACAGTCCTGTTGGATCACATTTACTGAGGTTTTAAGCGAGAAACTTTCAGTACATAATAACTGAGACTTGTGATAAACAGTGAAGAAAAGTGGCAAAATCGGTGCCTCTTTTTAATTCCACACCTTCTTCCCTCTTTTCAAAACCTTGTGGCTACATTACACAAAATGCAAGTCAACAGCTGACAGCTGGGTCACAGAATCGGGTGTGTATACGCGTACTCACAAACGAACACAAAAAACTGAAGAGACAACAAATAAGCTATGTGTGCATTCTGCTGTGTAAAACAGATTAGGGAAACAAGAGGTCGGAGGTAATTTTGGTTCCAGAAACGGCTCATATTTTGACACCACAATTACATTTTTGATGCAATTTTCCAGTTGAGCATATAGAGACTAAAGTTGTTTTATTCTACTGTTCAGACTATATTTTATTTGTAAACTTTAAAAATACAGAATGAGTGAAATTTCTTATTTCATGTGGCTTTAATGTACATAAAAACAAAAACATTGAATTAGTGCAGCTATGAAGAGCTGCGGTTTAAAACATGATCAGTGGTACAGTGACTCGGATTACAGGCATTCCCTGGGCTCTATAGGACTGGAAATATCCCTCTCACTGAAGATAATCTAGAGGAAGTGCCGTCTGTGGTGTCACCACTGGCTTTTACCACACTGACGGTGACTTTATCTCCTGAGTGGCCCTGCCCTACATCTTTGAGTGGGTGAGCTGGTCTTTTTAATGCGAAAAGCTCTGTCCAATCTGCCCCCAATCTTTTCGGGCAGTGTTAGCACGGATGTAAGCGGATCATTTTTCACTTTACCAATGACCCAGAGACCTCTCTCCACTGCCTTCTTGATTTCTTCCTTCAAAAATGCCTGTGATGTGGGACAGGAGAAGATGAAGAAGATAACCACTACTCTCACATGAAAGCGTTTCGGAAAAAAAAAAAAATCTACATTCAGTTTTTTGTCAACCACACAGTTTCACCATAATCCTCAAAAAAAGTCCACAGTGCTGTATATTTATAACAATTTAGAATACATTGGCGGAGATAGAGGAGTTACATGCAAAAATTGGGATTTGCAGTTCTCAAAATACACAACAAACAATTTTGTATTTTTTTTACTTTAACCATTCAATGTTAATAAAGAGGTCTGCACCAATTTAGTGTTGCGCTTCTATAAGATAACGTAAAACTTCTAATAATAGCCTGGGCGTTTATTTGCTTAAATCACTGAACCCCCCTGCTTTTATTGGGGACAGGCCTTTAATTCCTTGATTATTATGATCGCTTCAGAGGTTTTCTCCCGTCTCTCGTTTAACATTTTAACGGTAATTCAGAATGAATTAATACTTTGGTGTTGATAGTTTTCGTAATATATAGTGAAAGATTGAATTGTGGAGAATCTAACTGATCTGCACGATGTTCATTATGTACATATTGACAGTTTATAAGTTTAAACATTTATGTTTGTAAAGGAGGAAAAGTAGGAATTCAAAATGACTTAAAACTTGCTCAAGCAGGCGACCTGGTGGGTTTTAAGAGGTTTTAAACAGAGATAATTTCTATAAAATCCAGACCAGGCCTCTATTGGAGACCTGGGTTTATTTGTCAAAACGTGTAGCCACACCAGGCTTTTAAAAGAGACCTGCGTCTATTAGGGACCATGCTTTTATTGGAAGTTTTAAGGTATTAAGATAAATTAATAAATAAACAGTTAAGAAAAGTATTTTTTACTATGACTCAAAACAATTAAACAAAATAAAAACTGAATCATTTCTCTAAGCAAACCAGCAAAACCAAGAGAGCGGAATTTCGGGAAAGATATTAGCAACACTAAAAACTACCACATTTAATAAGAAATACCACCAAACAGATAATGTGCAGTCTAATTGATATGTAAATACGGACACTTAAACCAAGACAGTTTTTTTAAATTACAGGCAATAATTAAAAGCTCAAGGAGAAGCGTGTAGCCATACGTTTTTGTCAATTTTTACGTATTATTTTGAAATTGGTCAAAAATGATAATTTGTGCAAAGAAAATGATTAAACTCTTATGAAATGACCATTGTTTATCTTAATTTGCCATTTGTTAGATATTGTAACAACAAGTTTATATATACACAGTATATTTTTAACCTTGGTGACCCCATTGACCTCTACAGAGCCAAAAGAAAATGACAGTGTGATCTGTCCTTCAAAATTCTGCAGTTTTGCAGCCCTTTGGATAGAGGTATAAGCGCTGCTACTGCCATGGTTAGAAACTCAATTTCCCATGGAGCTCAATGAGTTCAGCCTAGCACTAAAGCTGCCAAGGTCAGGGATTTCATTTTCTGTGTAGCTTGGTGGGTAAAGCATATATCAGCACCAGCACTGTCAGGATATGAGCTTCAGTTCCCATTGGGGCCACCCATACTCAAGATGTATGCACTCCTGCTACTGTAAACTACTTAAGATGGAAGGGCCCACAAAGTGTCATATGTTAAATATGCTCAGTGGGAACCGATGGCCTTTGAATCATGAGGTTGGCCGAAAGATACCACATTTGAATCCAAAACAGGCTGGAAACTTTCCAAAAATTGGGAGATATGTTTTCACAGAAAAGGATATTGTTTATCCATCCCAAAGGTTTACCAAAGGGAGACAAAAGATAAGAATGTACAGTAATGATTTTGGGGGCAAAGACAGTTGAAGGCATTAGCATCTGCCTCTGATAACCGGTGCTCAATAATGAATTCATGCAACAAATGTTTCCTCTAAAAATTATTGTTTCACTTTGAGCTGTGGTGGAAGTATTCAGATCTTTTACTAAAAGATATATAATGCAACATTTACACATTAAAATGTCTATAAACACTAACCCTATGTCATACATTTTGTGGAGTTGTGTATTTACATTATCCCAAATGTTGTACAAAAGAATGTTATTTGATTCAGGTAACGGTGTGTTTCACTGGCCGCCTGTCAGTGGTGTCCTATCCCCTTTTGCATGAGTGAGTCTTGTTGGTGTCTGCCAGAAACAGTCATACATTGGACATTTTATACACTTTTAAACCATATTTTTCCTTTCCGACCTTGTTTTTAACTATATATTTTAACCGGTGAAGGATTTTAGTTGACGTCTGGATCTTAAGTTATCAGAGAAACAAGCTGAGCTAACGTTAGCAGCAGCTCGGCTGGCAGGCCCTCAAGGACGTCCTCTGTCCGCCAAACAGAACTAGAGTAAGTTTAAGGTGAAACTGCTTTATTCTGTTTTTTTTTTTTTTTACCAGTTTTAATCAGTCGGTCCATTTCTTTTGGGAAGGAGGAGCCCTCTGCAGATAATTGGGCTTCTTTTAGAAACCCCCTGAACAATGAACTCTGAAGGAATCCTAACCGGGAGAAGCTGACTGCAATGACAACAGTAGTGAAGACAACAACCTCCACGATCAGCTGAAACTTGAACTTTGTCTTTTGTTATTGATTTGATGCGAGACAAGTAAGTACAGCGTAAAAAGTCTTGAACACTAAAGATACACACATAATTTAAAAATAAATACGAATTATCATTTAACAGAAAAATAGATGTGTTTAAAACACAGTAAAAAGTTTATTATCATGATAAGCAGAAGTATGGATGAAAACGAATATCATTTATAAACATACCCGAAATATCATACATGTGGTTAAACACAGTTAAAATGTTACCATGACGTACATTGCAGCACAATCACATCAACAAATGATAGGACGAAGCAGATGTCTATAAACACAACAATCATTTCAATAGCCATAAACAGTTATTAATGCAGGATTCAAGTACAAAGCACTACACCATTAATAGTATTTGCAAAGCTAAAAAACTATTTATGGCTATAGATTTACAAAGAGAAAAAGCACAATCCAGACTCACAAATGTCAGTATCTAACAGACAGGAAACAAACAAAAGGATTGAACATATATATTACGCAACTCCCAACATAAGAAGCCAAGGGTGGTTGAAACATGCATTATCTACGTTGGGACGACGGAGCCCCGCCTAGCACAGCGGAGACGCAAACGTAGCAGAAGTTGACATGCAGCCAGAGCAGGAGAAGCACATGGATCGCAGCCGCACGGCACTAGTGGGAAGTGCTGTTGAGCACACATAGAAAGATAACGTAGCTGTCACTAACGTACCGACCCGCCCGCGCAGGCACCACCCGCCCGGCTAGACGAGATAGGAGGCGGCTTAGCCACCGCGGGCGGGCGGAACGTAGAACGTTAGTAACGCAGTCGTAGTGACAAGACAAGCTAACGTTATCTTTCAACCAAATTGCACCAAACAAAGACACATACCCCAGACCGCGACGGCCGCCGACCCAATGGCTTCCCATGCCGTCTTGGCTGCACTTCAGAAACTCGAGGTAACGAAAAACAACACCCGCCAGCACGTCATCACGTTGATGACGCAGAGCGGCCACACACGCCCAAACAGATAAGATCACAACAATAGCAGCCAAAACCACCCTGT